CTTTAGCCTTGACCACCAGAAAGAATTTCGGGCACCAGGGAAGTACAGCAACCGGAGGGTCTGCACATGTCGGGCTTTTGGAGGCGATACTCGTTCGACAGTGTGTCGATACTTTTTCTCTGGGTGCTCGAAATTATTTTTGGGGACGTGGCCCATAAGTACGATGGGGGCAACATAACTCTTGCGGCGTTCCTGGCCCGTCCGACGACGTCGGCGGCCGTCTTGGGAGCCCCTCTCGGCCGTCTTGGGGCCCTTTTGGGACGCTTCAGGGTCGTCGTGCAAGCCATCGTCTCGGGGTCCTGTCGGGGCCGTCTTGGGGACCTTACAGGGCCGTCCTGGGGTCCTGGGGCCATCTTGGGGACTCTTGGGCGATTCTCGCGCCATCTTGGGGGCCTCTTGAGTCGTCTTGGGCCGTCGGAAGGTCGTTTTGAAGCAAGTACGGGAATCACCAAAGACCTTGGGGATGTCAATGATTTTAACTTCTCCGGGCCTCTCTGGAGGAACTCTTGGAGGCCTCTTGGGGCGTCTTAGGGGTCCTTTTCGGGCCGTCTGGGGTTCTCTAGGACCACCTTGGCGGTCTTGGAGGCATCTTGGGGCCGTCTTGGTGGCCATCCTGGGGCTATGTTGGGTCTCAGGGGCAGTTTATTTTGTTGAGCCGTTTCTCGTTGTTTCTCTACAGTCAACCGCATAGTAGAAGAATGATCGATTTTCCAAGGTTACCCTTGTACAGTGCCGTTGTTTAAATACATGCTCCGCGTGCGGATCATGTATTAAACATGCAGGGATTTAGCATTAAAAACAACGATGAGTTCATGTATAAATTTATGCATGAATTAGTCATGTATTAAAATCTTATATAAAAAGATCATATGTATTAAAAACTGCCCGGTATCCTTCACCTCTCGGCCCATCATTGGCCGCCCTCGCTGGCCGCGCCCCGCCCGCAGAGTGCCGACGTGGCCCTCCGAGGCCCTGGCATCCCTTATCGTGCGTCCTTGTTTTCGGGGATGACCGTGAGCCGTTCCTTGCTCCTCCATCCTCCCTCCCACTGTCCCCCTGGGCTTCCGTCGGACCTGTCCCTCCGCAGGAGGCATTCTTAAAAAGAGTCAAGACAATGGTCAGGGGACGATATGTTTCTTACCCTTCGGGCATTTTTGGAGTATTGTTTTTTGTTCGCCCAATATCCCCCTTCTCGAGGGACGCGCCCGACTTACAGCCCTGGGCGCGTCGCCGAGAGACCGCGAATTTTCTTTGGGTGGAGGGCAAAGGGTGAAATCGGAAATGCTGCTTCGATGGATTTCCGAGGCTTGAACCTGCACGAGGTGGATCACAAGACGGATTGACTCTCGAGGTGTAACGGTTTATATATGGATTTCACCCTGAGCCCTCCACCTTGAGAAAATGTTCATAGAGAGGCGTCATCATCCACCCCGGCGCGCAGCGTGTCACCTACTTCCGGCGCGGCGGGGAGGCGCAGCGGCTGCTGTCGGCGTGCCTGCCGCGGCTGAGCGCCACGGGGGAGAGGGAGGGCACAGAGCGCTCCAGGCCTCGGGGGGGGGGGGGGCGTCAACCGCCCAGGCATTCGTCAGAGGGTGAAGAGATGCCCATACCGCTACCCCTAAGTCGGGCCCGCCCCTCTGCAGAAGGAGGATGGAACAAAATCATTCAAAAAATATTCTGGGGACGATTTGTTTACTATTTTTCACTGTTTGGGGGTATTTGGGGGGTATATTTTATTTTTGGTCCAGAATCCCGCTCGTTTTCCCATTTTTGGGCCTCTTGTGAGGCCCTCGTCGCCACCGCTTGAGTCTCCTCGACCTTCGGTTCAGGACGCGCCCTGGGAGAGGTCCAGGGAGCAGCGGCATCTGTACCTTTTGGTTTTCCCCACTCGGAGACGAGAGTACTGCACAAACGAACTTCTTGGGCCCCCGCGGGCTTCTTGGATCTGCGCCGAGCACCCCCGGCGGCGCCCCTGGCGGCGCCACAGGAGGCTCGGGCCAGACGAAAGGGGGGGATTGGGAAAGGGCGGTTACGAAATCTGCTGCATGCAGCTGGTTTCGGCCCCACCGAGGGGCCCATTCCTCGATACATAGCCGCCTCCCGGCGCCAGGAGGCGCCGGGAGAATCAGCTACGTGAGCTGATTCTCAACCCCCCCCTTTGTTATCCCCCCCTTTCGCCCGACCCGAGAGGCGCCCCAGGAGGCGCCCCTAGCGCGCCAGGGAGGAGGGCCTCCCGCAGAGCTCAGAAAATCAGCGCGGACCTCCAAAGGTTGGCTTCGAGCAGTTTGTCTGTTGCTGGACTGCTCGCGCCCTCGCAGAAGTCACGACGGGAGGGCTTGGGCCGTGTTCGGCCTCCGAGTGCTCGGGCCTCGGGATCGTCCAACAAACATGTGCGGTGAACAACCGGCCCCGGGGCAAGGGTTCGGACTTCCGGAGGCCTCGTAGTGAGAAAATCGAGACGCCGCGCGTCTGGGCATACGCCTGCACAGATCCTGGCCAGGCTCACCTTGGGCCCAAGAGCGGTGCGTAGGCTCTCCTCGCCCAGCCGGGAGGGCGTGCAGTCAAAAGGGGCGCTGGGGATGGGCCTTTACACCGCAAGGGCTCCCCGCATCCTGCGGCTCTGGCCATCCTCGGCACGTCTGGGCGCGCGCATCCTTGGCTCTCGCACCGTTCAGAGGGCCTTGCATCATGAGATCCTCCTCCTCCTCCTCCTCGCTGTCTGTGGTCACTTCTAGGGTCCCCCCTGGGTTCAGAGCCCCCGGGTGGGGAAGGGCGGGGGGGATGTCTCCGCTTCCCCCCTTTCCCCATGGAGTTTGAACCGGGGAGGGGGGGGGCGACGACGACGGCGTCGTGCTCGGCGACGTCGCCGTCATCGTCGTCATCGTCGTCGTCGTCATCGTCATCGTTGTCGTCGTCGTCGACAACGTCGGCGTCGTTGTCGGCGTCATCGTCGTCGTCGGCGGCGGCGTCGTCGTCAGCGTCGGCACTGTCGCCGTCGTCGGCGGCGTCGGCGTCGGCGGCGGCGTCGTTGTCGTCGTCGTCGTCGCCAGCGTCGGCAAAGCGTCCACGTCGCCGTCGTCGTCGGCGGCGGCGTTGGTGTCGGCGTCGGCGTCGGCGTCGGCGTCATCGTCGCCGTCGTCGGCGTGGGCGTCTGCGTCGTACTCGGCGTCGTGCTCGGCGTCGTCCTCTTCGTCGCCGTCGTCGCCGTCGTCGACGCCGGCGCCTGCGTTGGCGTCGTTGTCGGCGCCAGCATCGTCGGCGTCGTCTTCGGCGTCGTGCTCGGAGTCGTGCTCGGCGTCGTCGTCGTCGCTGGGGTCGGCGTCGGCGTTGGCGCCGTGCTCGGCGTCGTTATCGGCAACGGCGTCGTCGTCGTCGTCATCGGTGGCGGCGTCGACGTCGGCGTCGTCGTCGTCGCCGACAGCGTCGTTGGCGTCGTGCTCGGCGTCGTGCTCTTCGTCGGCGCCTGCGCTGGCGTCGTCGTCGGCGTGTCGGCGTCGTGCTCTGCGTCATGCTCTGCGTCGTGCTCGGCGTCGTGCTCGGCGTCGTGCTCGGCGTCGGCGTCGTCGTTGCTGTCGCTGGCTTCGGCGTCCGCGTCGTGCTTGACGTCGTTGTCGACGTCGGCGTCGGAGTCGTCGTCGACGTCGTGCTTGGCGTCGTGCTCGGCGTCGTGCTCTTCGTCGACGTCGGTGTCGGCGTCGTTCTCGGCGTCGTGCTCGTTGTCGTCGTCGTCGTTGTTGTCGTGGTCAGCGCCGGCGTTGGCGTCCGCGTCGTGCTTGTCGTCGTTGTCGTGTCGGCTTCGGCTTCGGCGTCGGCGCCGTCGGCATCGTGCCGTGTTCGTCGGCGTCGGCGTCGGCGTCGGCGGCATCGTCGTCGTCGTCTGCGCGTCCTCGTCGTCTTTGTTGTCTTCGTTGTGGATGCCGCCGCTGTCGTGTTGTCGGCGTCGTCGTCGTCGTCGTCGTCGTCGTCGTCGTCGTCGTATTCGTCGTCGTCGTCGTTCTGGTCGTCGTCGTCGTCGTCGCCTTCCCCCCCCTCCCCTGGGTCCCCCCCGGGTTCGAACCCAAGAGAGAGGAGGGGGCGGGGGCTTTTGCCCTCACCTTCTGCCGGTTCTGAGGAGGGGGGGCTCCACACCCCCCCGCGGGTTCGAACCCCGGGGGGGGAGGTTACCCCCCCCCTCTGGGTCTTGGGGGGGGGGGGCATTTTTTCCAAGCCAGCGCCCCTCGAAATGCGCTCTCTCCATCCTCAAACTCTCCATCCTTATCGATCTTTTTCTCACTGCGTGCGAAGATCCTGGGCCGACATGCTACTTCCAGATCATGGGCCGACATGCTACTTCTGGATTCTCCCATGCGGGATCCCAAGAAGGCCGGACCCTTTCCACCCCGGGGCCGGTGTTTTTTTGTTGTACCCCGAGTTGTTTTGAGACGACCGCGGCCAAGCGAGGGCTCCCGGAGGCCGAAGACGGCCAACCTCCTCTCGTGCTTTTTCGGGGGGTCGCCTGTGCTTTGTTCGTGTTCGCGGCTGTATGCGCAGGCAATTGGTTCCCGCTGGCGGAGCTGACCGCGCCAGCAAAATCAGGTGAGAACTCTTCCACCTCTGAGGGGCCTTTTCTTCTCCTCTCCCCCGCGGCCGTCTGCTCTGCCCTCGTCCCACTCTTGCATGCTGGCCGATTCGCTTTTCGGTGCACCCGTCTAGCTCTTTCGCTGGTGCGGCCAACTCTGCCTCGCCGCCGACGGAAAGTATGCGCAGGCCCTGGGCCCAGGAGTGATCGACCTGGCCAGGATCGGTGCAGGAGCATACTTGTCGTCCCTCCTAGATCGAGAGCGCCGGAACTCGGGTCGACCTGCTGGCGCTTTTTGACGAGCGCGTTCTGGCAGTTGACGGTCCAGCTTTCGTGGGATGTGTGCAGCGGGGGCGTTCGCGTGAAATCTCAGACCGGGTTTCGTCATTTGCACGATGGCCCCGTCAGGACAACCCGAGTCTCAGGGGCGGCCTACCCGACCCTTCGCAAACCACCCCCTTCCGTGACGTCCCCCTCGCCTCGGCCCAAGACGTATGCTTGTGGCCGACGGGGAGCCTGGAAGGCGACGAAGATCCCCCGAACCCGAGTCTTGCGTTGAGTCGGGCCTGTCCTTCGACAGGGGGAATATTCAGAAGCAGTCACGAAATATTGTCTATGTGTAAGTTTTCTGGGGTCATGTCCTGGCTATTTGTTTGTTTTTCGCCCCACATCCGCCTGTAGGGGCACACGCCCGACCTAGTCTTGCGCCCCCCCGATCCTCAGGAGGGGAAGAAACACACAGACACAATGAATCGTCGATTCCCAGGAAAACATGGAAAGATATGCGAAGTGGGGGGGAAGACAAAAACCCTGAAAATGTGGGAACATATGGGGAATCTGGTGATTTGTGTGTATTTACTGATGTGTCCCAGGGCCCCTTCAGATCCTGCGAGGCCGCGCCACGACGACGTGCGCGCCAAGGTCGGCGCCGCGGCCTGCCTGCGCAACCGCTTCCACCCGTGCCCCTCGGCCGCGCCGGGCACCTGCGGGGAGGGGCCGCGGGCGTGGCGGCACGTGAGGCCCCGGGGGCAACGCGATGGGGGGCGTGGGCTCCTCCGCCTCCTCCTCCCTCCTCCTCCTCCTCCTCCTCCTCCTCCTCCTCCCTCCTCCTCCTCCTCCTCCTCCACCTCCTCCTCCTCCCCTCCTCCCTCTCCTCCTCCTCTCTTCTCCCCTCCTCCTCCTCCTCCCCTCTTCCTCCTCCTCCTCCTCCTCCTCCTTTCTCCTCCTCCTCCTTCTCCTCCTCCTCCTCCTTATCCTCCTCCTCCTCCTCCCTCTTCTCCTCCTCCTCCTCCCTCTTCTTCCTCCTCCTCCTTCCTCCCTCTTCCTCCTCCTCCTCCCTTCTCCTCCTCCTCCTCCCTTCTCCTCCTCGTCCTTCTCCTCCTCCTCCCTTCACGCTGCGCGTCCTCCGCCGCCTCCTCCTTCTCCTCCTTCTCCTCCTCCGCCTTTGATGGGTTGATCCTCCTCCTTCTCCTTCCCCATATGTTCAGCTCTGCTTCTGACCTCCCAGCTGTGAGTGCCTGGAGGTGTGTGTGGCGTCTAAGCAGTACGTAACATAATGCCCGTCCTAGGATAGGAGGGGGATACAGAGTGGCGGCACGCCAACTACATCCAGAGGACGCCGGAGGACTGTAGAAAGCGCCCGTTTCAGATCCCGGTCCGCAATTTCACTTTGCCACAACAGGCCACTCCGTGGCAAAATGCCCGCGCGTCGCTTGGGACGATCGTGGCGGGACCCGAGGACCCCGCTGAGGTCGGGAGGCCCCGAGAAGGCAGCCCAAGTCAGGCCAAACAGCCAGACATGCGCCCCTGGTGGCGCGTCAAGTGTACCAGGATAGCGCGTCTTGCTCCCTTTCTGCTTGCATGTTTCCTGCGGGTCGGACAAGGTGGACCTCTGCCACCCCCTCAGGAGCCCAGATCCAGGGATCGCTAAGAAGGGCTACGGGGGGAGCAGGGAGGGTCAGGGTGTCTAGCAAGCGGTCCAGTAGCGTATCTGACTTTAATGAGCGCTGGGGGGGGGTCCGGCCCCTGCGCCACTGCTTGCCTTGCCAGGCCCACGGGCTCCTACTCTCCCTGGCCTTGTGTCATGATTTGGCCCCCCCCCCATTTGCTTAGCCCAGCCAAGGAGTTTCCCCCTCTATTCTTCCTTCCTTCCATCTCCTCCTCCTCCTCCTCCTCCTCCTGCTCTTGTGCTCCTCCTCCTCCTCATGCTCCTCCTCCTCCTCCTTCTCCTCCTCCTCCTTCTCCTCCCCCGATCGTTGACTCTCAGAGGCTGGGCAGCGCCAGGTGGCCAGGCGCGAGCGCAGTTGTCAGTTCAGACGCGGACGCGGCGATCCGCGTCGACGCGGCCGACGGCGTGGCCTCCCTGGTGCTCGCGCCCCCGCACAGGACTTACGCCGTGGAGTGGTGGTGCCCGCTGAACCAGCCCTGCGAGGTCCGGGGCCTCGGCGTGCCTCCGGGCGGCGAGCCGCAGGTGCCCCGAGACATCGCTCGGACGTGCTCGCTCTTGTCTCGGCGAGGGCCATCGAGGAGCACCCCGGATCCCCTCGCGAAGAGATGCGCGCGCGACATCGAAGCATGCACGGGGCTCTCGGACGCTCGAGCGATGGCCAGGTGCCGCCCTCCCGCGGCCAGCGCCTCTTCGAGGCGGCGGGCGCGGCGGTGGGCGTCCTCCACGAGCACGCGCTGCAGCGCCAGTGCCTGCTGGTGGCGGAGCCGCCCCCCGCCGCGTGGGCCTACCCGCTGCTCCTGGCGCTCGAGGCGGCCGCCTGGGAGGGCGGCCCGGCGGCCCCGTTCCTGGCGGCGAGGCTTCGGGGCCGGGGGCGGCAGAGAGGGGAGGAGGAGGAGGAGGAGGAGGAGGAGGAGGAGGAGGAGGAGGAGGAGGAGGAGGGAGGAGGAGGAGGAGGAGGAGGAGGAGGAGGAGGAGGAGGGAGGGAGGAGGAGGAGGGAGGAGGAGGAGGAGGAGGAGCGGAGGAGAGGAGGAGGCGGAGGGCGAGGAGGGGGAGGAGGAGGAGGAGGAGGAGGAGGAGGAGAGGAGGAGGAGGAGGAGGAGGAGGAGGCGGAAGGAGGGAGGAGGAGGAGGAGGAGGAGAAAGAGGAGGAGGAGGAGGAGAAAGAGGGGGAAGGGGGGGGGGGACGGCCAGAGGGTGGTGGGTATATCGTGGCGGGGGTGATGACTATGCTCCCCTGATGTCGTGGCGCCTCTCCTTGTGCTACCACGTCCCAGGCCCCCGCCCCCCCCTCCTAGGCCGCGCGCGTGCAGCCCGCCCCCCCTGGGACGCCCCCCTCTTCGGACGCCCCCGAGAATCCAAGCGTGCAGAGTAACCGTTGGATGTGAAGGACTGAGAATTCGGTAACGTTCGCTCGTAGAAGCATTTGTAGCACGGAACGAAGAAGCCCAGACATGCGCCGTCCTGATTTTTTGCTATGTGCGGGCTCCCTGGAAGTCCCGACCCTTTCCCCTGGACCGGTTTTTCATCCCGAGTAGTTTTTTTGATGGTCCCGGGACCCGGTGAGGGCCCCCGAGGGCCGAAAATAGTGGAAACCTTGCGTCCCGAATTTGCTGCGACTCGATCATGTCTAGGGAACGGAGTGTGGTGTGAGCCATCGCCTGGAGGCTCGAGGCCGTGGCGGCGGCCGTGCGGCGGCACGAGGCCGAGGGCCACATCCGCGGCGCGCCGGCGGGCGGCGGCGTGTGTGCCCCGCTGCCCTGCGCGGGGGCGGCCGCCACGGCGGCGGGCGCCTGGGGCAGCGACGGGGCGTCGCCGGCCGCCATGCTGGGAGCGGGCGGCGATTGTCTTAGGTCGGGCCCTGTCCCTCTGCGGGAGGATCAGGGGCAAGGATAGGGGGGGGATCGGCATAGCGTGGCATCGCTCGGACGTGTGCACTTTTTCTTTCGGCGAGGACCATCGAGGAGCATCCTTGCTCAATTGGTGAAAAACCACGCACGAAACCAAACAACAACAGGGAATGGACGTCCGAGCGATGGCCAGATAGGGGGGATGCATCGACCCCCATTCCCCCATGGATCGCCGATAGGGGCCCGATGGCCCCAACCTGCCCAGGAAGGTGCGGGCTCACTATCAGAGGCCTGTCGCCGATCTGTCGGCGATGTATCGCCGATTCCAGGTCGATGCATCCCCCCCCTATGCCAGTCCCCCCCCATCGTTGCCCCCCGGAGGAGTATTCAAAAGCAGTCAAGCACAGTCCGGAGGCGGCGCCGCTTGCGCGCTCCGCGCGCCAGGGAGGGGGGTCCAGCGCGGGTCCGAGAAGTCCGCGCGGACCTCTGAGTTTTGGTGTTTATGTCATTGTTCAAGCAGTGGCGAAGCGTCCCGGCGTGCCTAAAAGCCTACCAAGCAATGCTCTAAGAAACTTTTAGGGTTTCCACGACATGTTCCTAGAACGCTTCCGGCTCGGACTGTCTTGTTTGAACATCTCGGGCTCATGTTCCAAGAAAACTGTTTGTGTTCTTAGATCATTTTGGGGTTCTAAGAAAAAATCGTGGTAGGCCTATAGGATTGCCGGGACGGTCGGTCCTCGCTCAAATTGTTCGTTTCCCTAGAGCAGATGGGGTCGGTGTCGTCGAGGTTCGAGATTTTCGGGCGCTCTCGTCGCTGCTCGGCGGTTTCGCAGCCTCGGGGCGCGTGCCAGCGACGGGGCGATTGCCATGGGGGGAATGTCGTCGAGGTTCGAGGTTGTCGGACGCTCTCGTCGATTCTAGGTTGTGTTCCAGCCTCGGGGTGCTTGCCAGCGACGGGGCGTCGCTGGCCGCCATGCTGGGAGCCTGCGGCGATTGTCTAGGCCTCCTGGATGGGGTCCGAGCAGATGGTCCAGCAGTGGCGAGGCGTCCTGGCTCGCCTGTAGGCCCACCACAGAGTGCTCCACGAACCTTTTGTGGTCTGCTCGAAATGTTCTTAGACCAGTTCTGGCCGAGACTGTCTTTGTTTGCACACATCGGGTTTACGTTCTAAGAGCATTGGTTTTGTTGTTAGGAACATTTTGGAGGTTCTGCGAGCACATTTTGGGTGTTCTGCGAGCACTTCGTGGTAGGCCTATAGGAACGGCGGGACGGCCATTCCCTCCTCGAAGATGGGGTCGGGGAGTCGCGCCGGATCGCCGATGCATCGGCGATTGAGCTGGATGTGGAGCCCGTGCTTCCCCATGCCGAAGTCGACAATGCAGCGCCGACGTCGCCAATGCATCGCCGACGCATCCTCGATGTATCGCCGCTGCATCGGCGATGCGGTGCGATCCTCCGACCCCATCTGCTCGGACCCCATCCAGGAGGCCTCTAGGAAGGTCGCTGAGGTTCAAGATTCTCGGACGCTCTCGTCGGATCTACGCGGTCTTCAGCCTCGGGATGCTTGCCAGCAGCAGCGCCTCGCCGAGGACGTTCCTGGGGTGCCCAGATCGTCCCGAACGGCCGCCGGAGACCTGATGTATGAGCGGAGGCCCGACTCTTGAGCCAAAATACAAGTTCGCCGTGGGGGAAGACCTGCGGGAAACGGGTCCTGAGGTTTTGCCTCCGCTGTCGGCATTCCGAGGCCCTCCACGGGCCCCGAGGCCGTCAGAAAGGTGCTCAGGATGCAGAGCTCGTCCATGGGGGAAGGGAAGGCCCGGGTTTCAGGACCTTAGTTGTCCTTAAAAACGCTGGAGGCTTCTTTTCTGTTCGTTTTTAACTTGTCTGGTGGCGGTTGACCAAAACGGTAACACAACGGTAGCCAAAACGACTCCAAAATCCAGAACAACAGACAGAAAACGGCAACCAAAACGGAAAGACAATGTCGATCTTGAAAAAGAGGCAAGCAAAAACAAAAAAACGCCCCCAGCATGGTTTAAGAACATTTAAGTCCAGGACCCGTTTCCCTTAGGACCCGTTTCCCCCATGCTAAGGCGAGGGGCCTGTGCGCGTGGTGTGGACGCCGGAGGCCACGACGTGGTTGCACTCGGACCTCGCAGAGGCCCACCATGTCGGTTGCAAGTCATGGGAGCTTCGTGTGCCTTCGCATTTTTTTAATTGTTGCAAAAAGGTGTATCGGCGCCGACTAGCGTGTGGTGGACGATGAGATAGCGCTGGTTTAGCGTCGACTAGCCTCGATTAGTGGTGACTTAGCGTCGACTAGCGTCGATTCGCAAGGGGTCAACAAGATGGCATGGGAGGCTCCCGCGAGTTGCCGCAGAAGGCCACCATCGTCCCCTCTGGGGTCTGCGAGGGGAGCGGCCAGGGCGCCAGCCACGCCATCGCCTCCTCCCTGCAAGGGCGCTTCTGGAGTCACATTGGCCGTGACGGGCAGCTTGTGGAGGTGACGGTGGCGGGTTTGCTGCCTCTGGACTTCGGAGGCACGCCAACAGAACACCACCAGCCCTGGCCAGGCCCGTCCTGGGCCCTGGACTTGTGCACAGGCCCTCCAGGTCTGGGCCAGGAGGGCATGTACACGAACCAGGGCCCAGGATGGGCCTGGCCAGAGCTGGCGGTGGTGCCAGAGCAGGGGGAGGAGGAGGAGGAGGAGGAGGAGGAGGAGGAGGAGGAGGAGGAGGAGGAGGAGGAGGAGGAGGAGGCGGAGAGGCGGAGGAGGAAGGAGGGGGCGGAGGCGGAGGCGGAGGGGGCGGAGGCGGAGGAGGCGGAGGAAGAGGATGAGGAGGAGGAAGAGGAGGAGGAGGAGGAGGAGGAGGAGAAGGAGGAGGAGGAGGCGGAGGAGGAGGAGGCGGATGAGGAGGAGGCGGAGGAGGAGGAAGCGGCGGAGGAGGAGGCGGAGGCGGAGGAGGAGGAGGAGGGGGAGGCGGAGGAGGAGGCGGAGGAGAAGGAGGAGGAGGACTGGTTGGCCAGGACTGCTCGAGCATGGCCCTCTCGCGCCTCGTCGCGGACGCGGCCCGTTGGCTGCGCCACAACGCTGCCGAGGGCGCGCACGCAGCGGAGGCGCAGCTTCTCGAGCAACCGGCGCCAGCGAGCCTGGAGCTCGCCAGGGACCAGGTGGGCGATTGCCTGCCCCGCCCCGCCTCATTCCTCGCGAGTCTACTCGTCTCCTCCTATCTTGTGATTTCTCTCGGTCTCGAATCCCCATCCCCATCCCCATCCCCTTCGAGGCGTCCACCAGATTACCACCCCAGTTGGGGGTTACACCCCTCGAGACCCGCAGAGAACGACCTGTATCCCCATCTAGGGGGGTAACTCGGCCAGTGGGGCCCAGGCCACGCCGCTGGAAATGGGGATCGGTTAAACGATACTCCTCCTCCTCCTCCGAGACGTCTGGGCTGCCTCACCCTTCGGCCGCCGCGTGCTGCTGCCCGCGGCGGTCCTCGCGACTCGGCTCGTCGCCCATGCTGTTGCAGTGGAGACCCATGCCAAGAGGCACCCTGGTTGCCGCCAAGGGTGCCCCGGGTTTCATCGGCTTCGATGGTCTTGCCATGGGAGAGCGCGGCTCTCCCACGCCAGTGGTCCACGGACGGCCTGAGGTCTCAGGGTTGGGTGTCTTGTGGAAGGCTTCTTGTGGCCGAGCCCCTACTGCATTTCTCATCTTCCGAGATCTCTGGTCTGCCCACTTGTCGGCCGCCGCCGCTGTTGCACGCGGTGGTCTTGCACTGGTTGTCATCTGCGCCGAAGCAGTTGCCTGGACGCCCACTTCGTATGCCACTGCAGTGGTCAGCAGCAGCGATCGCGGCAACATACCCGACACGTGCTCACAGTGATAGTCATGCGCGCATATTTCCCACACCTCCCACATCTGGATGCGCGCGAGCACAATGTTTTGTTTTGTTGGCGCCCAATGGTTTACAGCGTTCTTGCCACGTGGAGCCTCACCATGTTCGGAATGCTTGGCATCAGAGTGGCAGATCGAGTTTTATGATATCGCAGTTTTTCATATTCTACGTGAACTTCGCATTTGCTGTGCTAGTGACGTTCAGGAAGTTCTCGCGCCGCGGAAAGCACTGTTGCATTTGGGTTGCTTGCTGTGGCCTAGCGGCCCAAAAGCCGTTGCAAGTAGTAGCCCCGTCACAGGCATGTGCTTGTTTTGTTCTACCGCGACGTGTGAAGTCCTGTTTCGATGTGCCAGCAGAGCGCGTCAGCGAGCAGTTCACACTCGCCAGCAAGAGGGACGGACTCTGTCGTTCTTGGCACATGTGCGCCGCGTCGCTGCTGAGTCGCGTGTCGGTCTAACTTGCGGGTGGGGAGGGGCGGGCGGGGAGGGGGGGGTGCGCGCGCGATCATCATGTTTTTGAAACGCTGTGTGCGTCGCCAGGGTCACATGTTTGCGGTGAACAGTTTGCTTGGCGTTGCGATGCCGGTGCCTGCTTGGCAGTCATGCATGGTTTGTTTCTGTCTTTTTGGCTTAAACTGTTTGTTGGGTGTTTACGGTCAGGTTGTTGGAGATTCGTTGGAAGTCTTGCGTTCGTTCTTTTGCGAGATGGTTATGCAGCCCGAGTCCGAGGATTGGTTGTGTTGTCTCGGGGCCGTCTGGTCGCAGTCGGCGGTTGTCTTGGGTTTTCTCTCTCTCTCTCTCTCTATCTCTTTCTTCTTTTTTTTTCTCTCTCTCTCTCTCTCTCTTTCTCTCTCTCTCTCTCTCTCTCTCTTTCTTTTTCTCTCTCTCTCTCTCTCTGTCTTGGGCTTTCTCTCTCTCTCTCTCTTTCTTTTTCCGGGCTGTCCTGGTCTGTCTCAGGAGAACTCTCGGCCCGTTGCGGGGCGTCTCGTCGCCGTGCTTCGCTCGAGCACCGACCGCGCACTAGGGTGCCGGGGTGCGTTCGCCTCGTCCTGGCGCCAGGCGGCGAAGACGTCGTGAAGCCCGCGTTCGGCCCAGGAGAGGTTCTGGCCCCGGGCCGTTCCCTAGATCTACGACGCCGGGGCGCGCGTTCGTGGCCAAGCCCTGCCGCTGCCAGAGCTTTGTTGTAGCCCTCGGGCTGCAGACGCGAATTCTCCCTCCCCCATCCCCGCCTCCCTGGCTTCGCAGTCTTCCTTTTATGTCTGCGCGATTGCGCCTCTTGCCCGCCTTCCCTGTTCCTGCCCCCCCCCCCTGCGCCGCTTCCCCTTCGCTCCCCTCCGCCTCCCTTTTCGGCAGCGCGCGAGCGGCAAGAGATGCCGAACGCTCTGCTGGATCGCGGGATCGCCTTCTTGCCCGCGCGCTGCGCAAAGCAAAACATCGCAAAACGCCGCGCCAGTGTTGTGCGTGCGTGTGCGTGTTGCGTGTGTGTGTGTGAGTTGTGTGTGCGCGTGTGGTGTGCATGTGTGGTGCGTGTGTTTGTGTGTGCGTGTGTGTATGTGTGTGTGTGTGCGTGTGTGTGTGTGGTGTGTGTGTGGTGTTGGTGTTGGTGTTGGTGTTGGTGTTGGTGTTGGTGTTGGTGTTGGTGTTGGTGTTGGTGTTGGTGTTGGTGTTGGTGTGCTTGTGCGTGTGTTTGTGTTTGTGCATGTGCATGTGCTTGTGCTTGTGCTTGTGCTTGTGCGTGCGTGCTTGCGTGCGTGTGTGGTGTCTGTCGTGTGTGTGTGTGCGTGTGTGCGTGTGTGTGTGCGTGCGTGTGCGTGTGCGTGTGCGTGCGGGTGCGTGTGCGTGTGCGTGTGCGTGTGCTTGTGCGTGTGTGTGTGTGTGTGTGTGTGTGTGTGTGTGTGTGTGTGTGTGTGTGTGTGTGTGTGTGTGTGTGTGTGTGTGTGTGTTTGTGTGAGTGTGTGTTTGTGTGTTTGTGTGTTTGTGTGTTTGTGTGTCTGTGTGTTTGTGTGTGTGCGTGTGTGCGTGCGTGCGTGCGTACGTGCGTGCGTGCGTGCGTGCGTGCGTGCGTGCGTGCGTGCGTGCGTGCGTGCGTGCGTGCGTGCGTGGGTGCGTGTGTGTTTGTGTGTGTGTGTGCGTCCTCTCCCTACAGCTCAGTCGGTCTACAATCCCTCCACGCGTCGCTGCTGCCTGGCGTGGTGCCCGCTTGTGCGGCCGACTCTGTGCTTCCTCGCCGCCAGCCACGCCCCGTTGGCTGTGTGCCTCCACGCTGTCTGCGCGCTGCGTCCCCGCGAGGGATACCCCGCGCTGGGAAGCACCTCCCTCTCCCCGCCATCCCTGCATGGATGTTTTTTTCCAAACCATCCTGTGGTGTGGGGTCCTTGTTTTGAAGAGAACGCCCCGCGGTCCTCCTTCCTTCCTTCCTCCTCCCCCTCATCCTCCCCCTCCCCCTCCTCCTCCCTCCTCTCCTCCCTGCCTCTGCTCTCCGCATGCCCATCCCTTTTCGACACGCCCCTCACACGTTTCGTGGCCTCATGGGCATCCCCATTTCGGCACACCTTTCACACGTTCCGTGGCCCCACGAGGAGCTCCACCGAAGGCCCCAGTGGGAAAGTTCGCATGGCACCGCCGCCCCATTCCGGCACACACCTCACACGTGTCGTGGCCCCACAGGGAGCTCCACCGAAGGCCCAGGTGGGAACGTTCTCACGGCACCGCCGCCCCATTTCGGCACACTTCTCACACGCTTCGTGGCCCCATAGGGACCTCTACCGAAGGTCACAGTTGGAAAGTTTGCATGGCACCGCCGCCCAATTTCGGCACACACCTCACACGCTTCATGGCTCCATAGGGAGCACCACCGAAGGCCCAAGAGAAAGTTCGCATGGCACCGCCGCCCGATTTCGGCACACCCCTCACACCCTTCGTGGCCCCACAGGGAGCCCCACCCAAGGCCCCAGTGGGAAAGTTCTCATGGCACCACCGCCACATTTCGGCACACCCATCACACGCTTCTTGGCCCCATAGGAAGCCCCACCGAAGGCCCCAGTGGAAAAGTTCGCATGGCACCGCCGCCCCATTCCGGCACACACCTCACACGTGTCGTGGCCCTATAGGAGTTCAACCGATGGCCCCAGTGGGGAAGTTCGCATGGCACCACCGCCCCATTTCGGCACACCCCTTGCACGCTTTGTGGCGCCGTAGGAAGCCCCACCGATGGCCCCAGTGGGAAAGTCTGCATGGCACCGCCGCCCCATTTCGACACACCCCTCACACGCTTCGTGGCCCCATAGGGAGCTCCACCGAAGGCCCCAGTGGAAAAGTTCGCATGGCACCGCCGCCCCATTTCGGCACATCACTCACACGTCCCGTGGCCCCACAGGGAGCTTTTTCGAAGGCATGTGTGGGCAAGTTCGCACCGCCGCCCGATTTCGGCACACCCCTGACGCGTTTCGTGGTCACGTGGCCCCGTGGCACCGCCGCCCCATTTCGGCACACCACTCACACGTTTCGTGGCCCCGTAGGGAGCTTCACCCGAGGCCCCAGTGGGAAAGTTCGCATGGCATCGCCGCCAAATTTCGGCACACCCTTCACACGGTTCCTGGCCCCATAGGGAGTTCCACGGAAAGCCCCAATGGCGATATTCGCAGGCGCCCCCCCGACTCATGTCGGCATACCCTTCACACTTTTCGTGACAGAAGGCTACACCGCGTGCGCTACTCGGAGTTTGCGCGCCCCCCTCCTTCGTCTCGTCTCCCTCGCGGCATTCGCAGCTGCAGATGGGTGGGTCCTTCGTCAGGTTAGCTGTGTCTCCAGCTATCATGGTGGCTCGCGCGGCGATCCAAAGCGACCCCGCTTGATGGCCAGGCCGTGCGCGCCCGCCTCGCCGTTTTCAGCGTACTCCGCCCCGCCGCCGCGCGCAGGGCCGCGACTGGCACAAGGCGTGCGTATGTGTGTGTTGTATGTGGTGTTTGTCGTGTGTGTGTGTTGTGTGTGCGTTGTGTGTGTGTGAGTGTGTGCATGTGTGAGTGTATGAATGTGTGTGTGTGTGGTGTGTGGATGTGTGGTGTGTGTGGTGTGTGTCCTCTCCTTCCTGCACTGTCGGTTGCCATCCATCCACGCGTCGCTGCTGCCTGGCTGGGCGCCCGTTTGTGCGGCCGACGCTCCTCCTCTACGCCAACCTCCCACCGTTGGCTCCTCCCCGCT